CATACTGTATTTACTCGCATAATCCTCGCACTTTTTTTTTGCCGGAAAACCGATGAAAAGTTGGGGGGTGTGAGAATTACGCGGGTAAAACTTTCTACGAACACGTACAGAGCGAAAAAGAAAATGAAGTGGCCGCAAATCGGGATTCTCACACCAGCAACATAGAGCAAGCTTTAAGAAGTAATAATTAAAACTTACCTCAACAATAAAAGCAGAGGTTCAACACAAGACAAGATTTAATTGAGACACAAAAAGTCGAAGCAAATAGTAAGCAAATAGTCGAGAATTAGAATACCATACGCAAAGCTTGCGGACGTTGCGGTAGCGTTCGTCGCTCAACAGGAGCCCTCAAAAGGTAAGCGTGGGAAGTCAGTATTGGGCTGACGGCTATTTAACAGAATTGTCCGCAGTTTCCTTCTTAAGAAATAAAGTTTACCATCAATCCCAGTTTTAGGCACACGGCAGGCCCAACGCGTCTTGGTGGCTTTCAGCTGCCATCATCAGTAGCGAACACAAAACTTGTAGACTCCGAAGGGCCTACTGGCAGCCCTGTTGCCGTTATTTAGTGCATTATCCGTCACTTGCAACTTGAAAGCAGCCGTTCAGCTTCAGTATCGCCTCATAACTTGACAAGGTTACCGACGCAACATACAAAATACGCCCCAACGCGCACTGGCTACTTCTGCTTGACTTGAGCTGGATTGAATCTCTGTGCAATAGTATGCTTGATGCTTAAGAGATGGCGCCAGATGACGTGCGTTATCATCATCAATGGCTGGAAACAGCAGACGACATTATTGCAGAAGTTTTCGGGGGTGCGATAATTACTACAGGAAAAAAAGAAATCGTATTTTTCTTGGGCGATGTGGGGGGGTTGCGAGAATTGTGCGAGTGCGAGGATCACGCGAGTAAATATGGTATTCGCCCTACGTGCATTGGCTTATGAATGAATCGTATTACCTTTAGTCCAAGTAGCATTGTCCATATCATCGACAACTTAAAAAACTCGTCAGCACCTGGAACTGATGGTATCAATATCAAAGTGCTCAAAAACATGAAACATGTAACCAGTATCATATTATCACTATTATTTCAGCAATCATCAGATTCAGCTTCAGTTCCAGAGGACTAGCGGATCGGGAAGGTCGTCCCCGTCTTTAAGAAAGATAATCGGCTGTCTCCTAACAATTACCGTCCCATATCCATCACCAGTGTCTGTTGCAAAATAATGGAGCATATAGTGTACTCTGAAGTAGCGCGTTTTTTGTCTACTAATTTTTTCCATCCCAATCATCATGGTTTTTCATGCTGGCCATTCTCGTGAAACCCAACTAGCCCTTTTCTTGCATGAAATTCATTCTCACCTTGATGATAATATTCCCATTGATGCTATATTCCTTGATTTTGAAAAAGCATTTTATAAGGTTTCCCATCGTCACTTTCTGCTGAGACTTTCATGTCTGAACTTGGACCCCTCCATGCTGAACTGGATTCGTGAATTTCCAACCCATCGCCGACAGTTTGTTGTTGCTTACTTTTGCAAATCTCCCTTTTCTCCCGTTCACTCGGGCGTTCCACAAGGTACTGTACTAGGTCCCCTCCTCTTTTCAATTTACATTAACGACTTGCCACGTATTATCACCGACTATTCGCCTATGATTGCGTGTTGTATCACCCTGTAAATAATGCCTCACATTCTTCTGTTTTACAGTCAGGTCTTAACACTATACAGAATTGGTTAATATCACTAAATGTTAACAAAACTTTCCTAATGACTTTTCATTGTCGTAATAACTACATCGCTAACACTTACTTTCTAAACAACTACCTCATAGCCGCTACCAACACTACCAAATACTTAGGTGTTCATATCTCATCTGATCTAACATGGACTTTACACATCATTAGCATCACTAACTCAGCTAATCGAGTTCTTGGATACCTAGGTCGTAACCATGCTTCGGCTCTTGCTTCTACTATACCAATAGCTTATAAAACACTCATCAGGCCTAAAATGTAGTATGCTAATGCCATTTTTGATTCTCATCAAGCTAACCTTTCCACTATGCTCGAATACATTCACAACCATGCTTCCAGATTTATTATCTCAAATTACTCAAATAACATAAGTGTGTCAGCAGTCAAACACCAGCTTAATCTTCCTCATTTTGCCTCTCAGTGTAAAATTTCACACTTGTGCTTGTATCATAAGTTTTTTCATTCCTTGCCACCAGGCGATGCATTCATCACACCTGCACATTGAACATCACGACATAATCACCCCAACACAGTATATCCCGTACGCCCAAAAATAAAGACCTTCCAGAAGTCATTTTTTCCTCAGACAGCACTTGACTGGAACGACCTTCCTGCCCACATCGCCTTGTCATCTCAGTTCGATCAATTTAAAAACTCCGTAAAAAGCCATATTTTATTTTTCTAATTATGATCTACTGCAGTTTTTCTATATTTTGTTATTGTTTGTGCAACTTTGCTCTTTTTTGTTTCATCTGTTACGTTTTTTTTTGCCCACCCCTCATGTAATGTCTCTCGGGACCCTTGAGACACTAATAAATGAAACGAATAAACGAATACTTGCGAGGTGCGTTTTACAAGACAGACTGCTGCGTTCCAGTGTTGCGTATTGGATGCGAAGGCACAAGGTACCCGAGCGGTGCACTGTTCCAACTAATACAAGGAGATCTTGAGGATGTTGCTCCGCTTAAAGCATATCTTAGTTTTCTTCATATTCTCGACCGCTCCACGCTTTGCAAAACTGCTTAGTCTTTTTGAACACTAATATGGTCGGCAGAAAAATACGCTATGCCTTCACTTTTGCATTAACATATTGAAGCTTGCATGATCTTAAATCATCACCATTCGTTTATAAACATGCTGATCATGCAAATACTATAGGTAGCGATAGAACTGCCCCTAGGGGAATAGCAGGGTAGGGTATTGCACGAACTATGTCACCAAGCTATTAACCCTAGACCTTGGTAATGTGTTTTGCATTCTTATGCAAACTGAAAAACATCTACTATACTTGATAGATTCCCGGCGCGGATTGGCAATATCCTTCCCCTTCCAAGGCGTATATATCTGTTCACCCGAAATAAACGCTCGAAAACATATAAAGCGCTAACAAACAGGGACTTAAGGGAGACGACAAAACAATGTCCTTAATATGTTAGCTCTCAATATGTTTTTCAGTTCCGTTTACCTAAAGGCCCAAAAAATGCAAACGCTAAAAGTTTTTTTTTGCAGTTTTTGTTTAATCAAATTACGTCAGCGTTATGGGGCATTCATTCTTAACTGAATAAAACTATCAAGATGCTTTTTCGACGTTGAGGAATTACAGGAAAGGAATTGAACAGCCCAGCCATTCCCGAAGTGGCAATGGGCAAAATTTTTTCATTCCGAGGTATTGAAACGAATGGAATTGCGGCAAGTTCTCATTCCCCAGAATGGAATTGGAATGGAATGGAGGGACCCATTCCGCAACACTGGTACCCACTATGCCACTAATCATCATGAATTTGGCGTAATGGGAAAGTGGCCACTATGCGATTATTCATCATTCTTCAAAAAAAGCTGGTAGTTAGAACACACTTGAAAAGCAGTAAGGACGTATAAAATGGTAGTAAGGACGATCCCAAACTCTCATACTTAAGTCAGAGTTTCAGTCCCCAAGAGAAAGAAAATGTACAGAGTATATTCAAATATACCTTATTCACAAGTTCAATACTCTCCAGCCAGTAGGTATAAACGTTTCTAAAGGGGCTCTTGAATCTATTTGGTACAGAATATACACAAAGAAAACCATTGAGAGTTAAGCCCTCCGTCAAGAATCTCAAACCTGCCATTGTTCACGTCTGACAACCGGTTTGACAACCGGTCTGACAACCGGGACTCAACGACACGTGTGCATCCTCACCTGCACATCGCATCCTTATTTTCTTTTTATTCATGGAATACCTCTTCACTCATACAGATTTTCACAGCCAGCACCCCCACACCACACCTGCCTATCCAATATTGCCCCCCCCCCCCCCCCCCCCCCCCCCCCTGTTAAGATGATGGAGAGCATATGAAGTTTAGACACGCTAGTGCTAAAGGAATCACTTCTCTTCTAGCCTTTAGGAAGACAAGTCCGCTTGTAGAAATGTCTGCTCGACACAACCCTTGTTTTTGGATTTTTTATAGTAAGGAATTATGGCACTTTGTTGACACCACACCTGCCTATCCAATATTGCCCCCCCCCCCCCCCCCCCCCTCTGTTAAGATGATGGAGAGCATATGAAGCCTAGACACGCTAGTGCTAAAGGAGTCACTTCTCTTCTAGCCTTGAGGAAGACAAGTCCGCTTGTAGAAATGTCTGCTCGACACAACCCTTGTTTTTCGATTTTTTATAGTAAGGATATATGGCACTTTGTTGATGCTGTGACTGACGACAATGAATTATGCTTGAGGCTTTTGTAACGGGCTGAAGCATTTAACGACCCACTCGTCACACAATTCGCATTGCGTGATGCTTGGTTGTTACTTTACTGTTCTAAAACGCATATCACATATCACATGTTAGTGTGATTTCTCAAGTGTGTTCAGATTGTTGGGCGATAAATTGCCTTTGGTGCGCATTATGCATGTTTAGTGGCATGGAATTACTTTTGTTCGTGCATTGTGGTTTTCACAAGGTTTTGCATGATGAAAAAGGTACGAAAATTTGTCAAAAGCATGTTTGTTTATATCAATATACTTCACATATTGGACGAACTCTAGGAAATCATTTCAATTAGATTTGGTTGTTACAAACGATCTGGTTGTAGCTTGGTTAATTGCTGCGACACAAAAAATATGCATAACCATCAATGAAGGAGTGACTAAGCCCAGGAGCTTGGTGAAGTTGCAGGGTAGTTGGCCACACAACTGTGAATGAAGTCTTGTATTTGTGCAGTACATTTTTTCTTTTTTTTTTCTTTTTGCTCTTCGTGGTCCAGAATGCTACTCGCATCAGCCAGCTGGAGTGTGAGTTAGGAAGCTTGACTGATGAACATGATGGTCTGAAGCATATGCATGACGTCTACAAATTCAAGGTGGGTCACTTTTGTGTGAGGTCACTTTATGCTGAAGAGGGGAAGTTTCAGATGTTATTTTAAAAGGCTGTGTCAATCAGGAAGCTTATTTTTGCCATTATCATAATAAGAGCAGGGGTGCAACAGCTACGTCATTTGTGCAATTATGCGCCAAACGTGTCTACATGCGCCATACTGCGCCGAATTACCACTGTGTTTCCAAGCTCGTTTATCAGCAGCATACTGCACCGCAGAAGCCAAACGTAGCCACAAGGTGCGACAGCCATCAAGCAGCGTGTCCTAAAACGTGGTTGAAACATTGCGTTTTCAGTTTCATTGAAAAAGTCATAGTTACGTTTTTGTCAAGGCTGTGATCGCTCCAGCAGCAGCTGTGAATGTTGATTCTAAGGGTGCGGTCGCTATGTGTGCGCACTATCATGACAGGCATCAGCATGAATGGCTTGTGAACCCTTCTGCATGCTGCACTCTCAATGCGTAGAGATTGCGAAAAGAGCATCTCTTCCTGGTGGGGCCGTATCCTCTTACACCAATGTTTTGTTGTTAGGCAACATCAGATTTAAACGAGCCAGCTCTCAGCCTTACAGTTTATTGCGATCGCATTCATTGCTGTGTTGAGTGAAGCTATTTTTTTTTTATAACCTAATGGCACTGTTCAGAAAAGAAAAAAAAAGAATGACAGTAACAGCGTTAAAAAGAAGTGGTCGTGGTGTCTAGTTTCCGAAGCAGCCTAGGAAAGGCAGGTGTACTAAAATGCTCATCGAGGGCATGCACATATTCTCGTTCATTTTGCCGCACTTGATACTCGTGTGTTCGGTTAAATAATGGGCGGCTGTACAGTACTGTCCACTGTTATGGGGAATACTACAATGAGAACTGTTGATATTACTGGTCTTTCAACAGCAAGTGCATAAGTAAACAATGTTCATGCACGGCACTGATCGGTCAAAAGAAGTCAAAGCTGTCAATCAATGATTGTTTTAAAGCAAACCTAAGCCACTATGTTTTCACAAGATAGTGAAATTCAAACATATCGTCCCGTTAACAGTGGATCTGTCTGTACATAACTAGAACAGTCACAGTTGCACTGCAAGGGTAAAGAAATGAATGCGATAGTAACAAATTGTCATGTTATACGAAGTGTGGCTGGCAGCTAACTCTCTTGAATCCAATCTCGTATAACTCTACAGAATGCTGGTGTATGAGAATATGGCCACCCCAGAGAGAGAACGACACTTTTCGCGTAGTATTTTCGCGTTAAGGGTGCAGCGCATAGCGAGCTGCCCGTTGATAGCTGCCGAGCTTGCGGGCGCGCCAGCCATCGTGACCACGACACCCATAGAAGCAAAGTCCACAGTTGCTTCTCAAGCGACACCCCACCCCCCTCGCTTGCTTCTTTTCATGCTCCTTCAAGACGGGTGGAGCGCTGCCTCCCAAGCAGGGGGATGTCATTGCATGCTCCCTCCGAGTGATGGAGAAGGGCTGGCTCGTTCAATCTCTGCTTTAGGTGCGTTCATCGACCCCGGGGGTAAAATTCGATGCGCAGGGGTATGTTGCCAATTCGGACTTTATTTGAGACATGATGGCACCGTCGAAAACCCATCGAGAATGTCCATTGTAATCCATATCGCATGTTAGTACTGCACAATTTAGTCGAGTGTTTGAAAAATGCAGCATTCTACAAATGTTGTTTTACGAGTGCTGTGTTATGGGGCTACATCTGCTTTGAATGTTCCTACTGCTCTAAGTTTGCTTCAAAAAACTTCTGGCAGCTTCAAGCCTGCTCCAAAATGTCTTTCTGGCTGCTTCAAGCCTGCTACTAAAGGAACTTTTGCCTGCTCTCGGGACTTCTCCCGAACTCATGTACTCTCTTCCACCCCTGCAAGGTCTTGCACCTTTTGCAGGTGCCTAGATTTAGGTGAACAAAGAATCCCAGGTTGTCGAAATTTCTGAAACCCTCCACTACAGCATGCTGTTAAGGCCCTCCTTAGCAGGGCGTTTCGTCCAGGGCCTCAAGCTGACGAACATAAAAGTTCGGCTTGAACTTGACAAGATAAAGAGACGAACAAATGCCTAAAACATGAAATGAGATGACACCTTAGTCCGAAGCATTGGGTTGCTCCATGTGTGCAATGAGGCTCAGATGTGGTCTTAACTATTCAACATGCACAATGTCACTTCCCGTGTTGTTCGCGAGTTCGATCTCGTAGTTCACGGGAGACAGTTTGTTCACTATCTTGTGAGGTCTGGTGTACGATGTAGTTGTTTTCACACCGGACGTTGGAGCCTTGAGGAGCACCAGTTGTCCTCTTTCAAACACAATGTCCTTGTGGCGCTTGTCAAAGTGCTGCTTCCGTTTTTCTTGAGCCAGTCGGATGTGCGGTGCCGCGAGCTCCCTTTATTTATTTATTTATTTATTTATTCAGATACCTACAGCGCTTAAGTTGGCATTATTGTAGGGGGGAAACAAACAACAGGTAGTATATACAACATGAAAAGCAACAAACATTATGTAGGAATAAAGATAATATCAACACTCTACACATAAATGACATTATAAAAAGACTAAATATCACGTTACTAAAAGGTTGATACAGGTTGTACAATACGAAAAAGCAACAAAACATAATGTTAAAGTAAAAACTTTTAAACATAAATTAACATTATAGATACATAACCTCATAAGAAAGACAGTAGAAAACACAACTAGGCAGAAGCTGTAAATTGTGAGTTAAAGTTCAAAATATCCCACATATGTCATGTAAAACCTAGTTAAACAAACATTCTGCGAGGGCTTCATCAAAGGAAGTCGGTGATGACAGTACTACTTCATTCGGGAGACTATTCCAGTCATGGACTGTCCTTGGAAAAAAAGAATGTTTAGATAGGTTGATCCGACACCTATATTCTCTAACCTTCAGTGAATGGTCTACGCGGGCAGATCTATAGGTAGAATCAAGTATGTAGGTTTCTTTCCTTAAGCCTGTTGCACCTATAAAAATTTTGTGGAACAGTTTCAGGCGTATGTACTTCCACCTGTCCTGCAAAGACAGCCATCAAAGATTGTCCCGTGTATCGGAAGAGCTTTTTCTGAAATCATAGTTTGATGATACAAATCGTGCTGCACGCTTTTGGATGTGCTCTAATTCGTCAATACATGTCTTTGTACCGGGGTCCCAAGCGGAACATCCATATTCTAATATAGTGCGAACATTTGAAAAGTAAAGAATTTCTAACTTAGGGGGGAGCTTGCTTGAAGTTACGCCTTAGGAAGTTGAGGACCCGACTAGCCTTCGCTGCTACGTAATCAATATGGTCATTCCAGGAAAAGTCATTTTTGTATAAAACCCCTAAATATTTATAGCTGGGTACAATCGTTAGGCTTTCGCCATCAAAAGAGTATTTCGTATGCAAAGTATGACATTTTGTAGAAAACTGGACAATGTTACATTTAGAAAACTTTAGCGTCATATTCCACGTATTGCACCATAGTAGTATCTTGTCAAGGTCACTTTGTAGTTGTACACTGTCATTCAAAGTATTAATTTCACGGTAAAGACAACAGTCATCGGCATACAATCTGAGACGGCTTGATACTCCTTCGCCTATATCATTGATAAATATCAAAAAAAGAAGAGGCCCGAGTACAGATCCCTGAGGAACACCTGACAAGACTGTTTTATGTGATGAGGTCATTCCGTTAAGAACAACACACTGTTTTCGGTCAGTACGGTAAGCCTCAATCCACTGAAAAAGCGCCGTGGGAATACTAAGTGCAGACAGTTTTACAAGTAATAAATTGTGTGCTACCGAGTTGCAGGCCTTTTGGAAGTCTATGAAAATACAGTCCACCTGTTTGCCATTATTAATCGACAAAGCTATATTATGAGAAAACTCAATCTAATGAGTGTCGCATAAGAGACCTCTCCTAAAACCATGGTGTGCTGGGGTGAAAAAATTGTTTTCTTGGAGATGAGCCATTAGGTTAGAGTAAATGATATGCTCTAGTACCTTGCATGAAACACTAGTTAGTGAAATAGGTCTGTAGTTTAGACTCTGTGTGTTATTGCCGCTTTTGAATATAGGAACTAAATTTGCTGTTTTCCAGTCACGCACTAAAGCACCGGAATCAAATGACTTTTGATAGAGAATCGTTAGAAAAGGGGCAAACGATGCAGCAAAATTTTTTAATACATAATTCGAAATGTGATCGGGTCGGGGGGCTGTCTTCACATTCACTTTTCGTAGTAGCGTTATTATTCCCTGCTCTCAAAAGGATATATCACTCATTTGTGGTAAGTTCAAAATAGTTTTCAGGCCACTGGCCTGGGGGATCGACCGTATGAATACAGATTCGAAGTAGTTACTGAACTGTTCAGCCTTTTTTTTGAGGTCACCGGCATAATTATTGCCATCTATATTATTTGGAATGGGATCCTTCGTTGTTCGCTTGGTTCTGAGGTACTTCCAGACTTCTTTTGGGTTAGATTTTAATTTTTCGCCCATTGCATCTCGATACGCGCTTTCTACATTGCGCATTTCTTTTGCTATATTTTTACCGAGTTCCTTCATCTTGCTGAAAAAGTCTGGAGTCGGCGATTTGCAGTACCTGCGATACAGGCGATGTCGTTTATTTATCAATGCACGAATATTTCTACTAATCCATGGTTTATCTGTCTGACGCTTAGATGTGATTAGTCGAGACGGAACGAATGACTTCGTGAGCGATAAAAGTTTGGTTTCCAATAAGTTTCATGCAGATTCTATGTCAAGGGCAGAAATGTGCTGTTTGAAAAAAGGCAGGAATTCATCAAGCTCATGTGATAGTGAGGCAAAATCGGCCCTGTCATATTGGAACACCTATCTCGAAGGAGGAACATGTCAACGCTTTAAAACACAAGATAGGTGTGCAAGAACAATTTCATGGTCACTTATACCGGGTAATAAATTGACAAAACTACTGAGAGTGCGTTCAGAACAAAACAACAAGTCTAGCACATTTG